CTAAACCTCTAAACCTCTAAACCTCTAAACCTCTCCTGGGAACCTTTCAAAAACAAGTTAAGGTTGCTTCCTAGGAGCTGGCTGAGGTTTGGGTGCGGAAGTCGAGCTCTGGATGAGCCACCAGAATGGAGAGCTGCCCTCACCCCAGGAAACCTCAGGAAGCGTCTCTATCACGGAAGAGGAAACACCTTGTGGAAGTCTCTCCGTGGGGCAGCCCCACGGCCTCCTCTGCAGAATTCTACGGAGGTCCAGAAGGCCGGTTCTCCCCCTGGAAACCTTCGTTGGTTTTCATTGCGGATCCTACTTTCTTTCCCTCGGAATCTGTTAAGGAATAATAAAATGTGGATAGGCTCCACAATCTCTGAAATCAAATATGGTCAGGAATCTTTGCCTGGAGACGCCTTTCTCTCTACTGTTATTGTTTAGAAGGACAGCTAAGGAGCACAGCCCATTTTGAATCTCTGAAAGACATTTGGACTCCCCAGGCCTCTTCGGAATAAACAGAAACGGAAAAAAGATGGAAATGCAGTTTATAAGGTCCAAAGGGTGGGATGCTTGTCTTGTTCCTCATCTACATTCGCACTTATTCCATTTAAGCACATTGTGTTGACTCCCAGTGGCGGATCCTTCCTTAGCGGCAGCCTTATTTTTGCCCGGTATTTTCATCTAAGACTTTGATGCTCACAAATCTCTTGCCGTGACTTGCTTCTCATTTGTTATATTCCAGCAAGGCAGGACAACCAGTATTTGCTTCCCAGTGGGGAAGAGCTGCCTGTGGCCATGATTTCAGGGCAAATGGGATGGGATGAGGCTAGGGAGACGGGGGGGATCCTGCCATGAGAAACCGCCCCAGAAGGCAAAGGGCCGTTCTCTGGCCGCCTGCCCCAGGGGAGTGGGGACAAGGGCCCTCTGGACCCAGAGACCCATCCCAGGCAGGAGAGAGAAGCACCCTGGGTGAATTGTAATGAGCAAAGAAGCCTCAGTACAGAGAAGGAGACAATTATTCTTCCAAATTCCTGGTTATAATTGAAAGCAAAGCCCGGCTGTGGCCTTTAGGGGGGAAGGAAGGGAGGCTCACCTTCCCCGTGTGCTGCTCCCCCTGTGCAAGGAAGGCCTCGGGCATCCCTTGAGTTGCTTTCATGGGAAAACTTTTGCTCGGCTCCCTGGATGATTTAGGAGGCAGCAGAGGAGGCCGGTGAAATCAGCCATTCAAGGTGTGGCACGGACATTTCTGGCATTTTGAGACTTGCATGATGAATCTTGGCTTGGATGGCAGAAAGAGAGCTGCACATATTCTTACAGCCGTGGGGCCTGATCCTCCTCCCAAGAACGGCTGTCTTAAGGCTGATTTGGAGGTGCCTGCAATCTCCCCCCCCCCCACAGGAGGCTCGCCATACACCTGCCCTGCCAAGGGCTTGATGGGTACGCAGAGGTTGCAGGTGGCTGCAGAAGGGCTGTGCATGCACCTCACAAATCCCAGCTGCGCACTGTGTGGAGGTGCACATCCTGCCTTCCGATGGGTTGAACCCCCTACCTGCTCCGTGCTTTGCTGCTTGTGGGGACACCCCAGCCAGGACACCCCATTGGCAGAAATTTAAATGGGGCCCCTGTGCAGCCACACCCAGAGGGCAGGCCCAGGCGTTCCCCGGCGTGCAGAGCGGGGGGGCGTCTGCTCGGCCCCTTGTGAGGAGGCTGCAGTGCACGTTGGAGCTCACGCAGCTGCCTCGCGTCCTGTGGGGAATCTCCCAGCGGCTGCCAGGTGCTATGAATCCTCTTCCTCACCTGGAAACCTTTCTGGGCTTCTGAGCCTCCCCACGGCCTCTGCCCCGAACTGCCTGTCTACACGCTTGTCCTTTGGCAGCCCTTCATCTCCCTCCCGTCAGTCCTGTTGATGGGAGAGGGAAGCAGCAGGAGCCAGAAAGGAGTCCGGGAACCGGCCTCTCCGTGGCGTCCCGGCTTTTGCCTCGTGCTGCGAGGAACACAAAGCTTTGCCTTTTGGATTGTTGTCTTGAAGCTGCGTGCTGAGGCGGGAGAGTCTGCTTGTGGCACGAAAGCAGAAACATCTGGACGACTGAATTGCTGTCCCCCAGACACCGAGAGCTGAACGCTGAGCCGTGCCTGGTGGCTTAGCCACAGCCTTCTCCAGCCCTTTACGGTGCTTTACGGCCCTCTCTCAGCAGTTTTCAGAGTCAGCAGCCTGGCTCCTCCGATCGCTAGGATGCTTGTGGGTGGCTGTGGCATCTTTTGGGCACTTGAGCCCCTCCCGGCCTTTCGCGCTGGGCTTGAGACTTGGAAGGTGTGCTGAGGTTAGGTGGGACCTCTCTGAGGAGAAGCTCCAGCTGCCTCCCTTCCCTTTAGGCATCACAGGGAGAGTGGCTGCCCTGAGCATCGCCCTGCACCGCCCCTGGAGCCAAGGCCCCCCCCCCCCACCCTCCTCCAAATGGGTTCCCTCAAATGGGGAGGAAGGCCAGAACGGAAGGCCTTTGGGATTCTGGATTCCACTTGACCCAGAGAAGCTCTTTTCATGCAGCCCTTTTTGCCATTGTTGCCCTCGGGTGGAGCCGTCCTACAGGGTTGCTCTGAGTGGATCTACAGACGGTTGGCAAATTCTGGGGGGAGCCCGTGGCCTTCCTCAGCTTACCTCGATTTAGACGGTTTGCTTTCAGCCGCCCCCGTCCTGAAACGAAAGATGCGTTTCAGATTACGTGGTTTGAAGACAGAAGCAAGGTCTCAATGTGTGGTCCGAAAGCGCCGGAGGAGGCTGGGCTGGGTGAGGAAGGAGCCGGTCAGCGCAGGGAGCTTCCCTCCTTGTCCCTTAGAATCAGATGCGGCCTTCAGGCACTTGGCTGAAAGGCCTTCCCGATGCTGAGTCACTTCTGGCCCAGGGAGCCCTCAGAGATCGGGCTGTTCTCCCAGCTGTGGGGGATTCTGGCTGCAGCAGGCCATCTGGGCCCGCCTGGGTCAAGATCCCGGTTGCGTTTTGGACTAAATTAAGTTTCATCCTCAGTAGGAGCCCCTGCTACGAACTGCACCAGGGACACCAGATCCATTGTCTTTCTTGGGTCCTTTCCCCGAGGTTCTGCTTTTCATGGTGTTTCAAGAGCCCCTGGAGCCTCCAGGGTTGGATCACATTCTCGCCTCCACCGGAGAGCAGGCGGCGGTTCAGTGGTCAGGGAGCTTTGGAGGGGGGGGGAGAGTGAAATATTGCAGCCATTGTGGTGGCCGGTTGTAGACCTCCTGGGCAGGCCTGCCCGAGACCCCCGGGTGGTGGTTCTCTGGTGAGCAGATCCTCTGCCTGATGGGCTGGAGAGGGGAAAGGGCCACCAGAAGGGAGGAGTGGATGGGATTCGCTCTCCTGATCCTTCCTCTCCTCCGCTTCGGCTGCCGCTCTAGCGCTGGTCTGGGCTGGCAGGGTGCGTTTTGTGGGAGGTCTCCCCTCACACACCTTCCCCCTCCCTCTTCCATGCCGGCTGAGGCTTTCAGAGCTGGAGGCAACCTTGAGTGATACCGATTCATGGAGGGGGGGGGGGCTCCAGATGGGTCGCAGGGCTGTGGAGCCCATAAGAAGCCAGGTGGAGCTGTGGAGATGACCGGCTGCTGAGTGGGCTTTCCCCATCCTGGGGTTTAGCAGCACCTGCTCAGGGGTTCTTCAGCCTCCTCAACAACCGGACGTTGCTGTTTCTGGAAGAAGCTCAAGCTTAGAACATCCGTGGGCCGAATTCTGGAGTGGAGAGCAAACGCCAGTCGCAGTGGTTGCCCCCAAGGACCCCCCCCCCCCCGCACCCACTCCTAGTGGGGCTGCACGGGGTTCTCTGATGGGTCCGCCCCAGTCAGGCGTGCCCCAAGCTCTGCCCTTCTTTCCTGTCTGGGTGCCCTGGGCATGGAGGCCTGGCTTCCCTCCTGAGGCGCCTTCCTTCGGGGGTTGGGGGGGCAGAGCCTTGGGGCACCCATGGGAGGTTGGGCAAGCGAGGACAAAGCTTTGCCCAAGGAAGGGGACCGTCAGGGAGTCGGAGCCCCACCAGCTGCCCCCTATGCCTGTCACGCCTTCAGCCCTCCGACTCAGTGCACCCGTCCTCCATTCCGCCAGACTCTGGCTGCTTTCGCTGGGCAGTCGGCCGAGCAACGCCTGGCACTGGGGAGCCCCACTTCATAAGCCAGACCCAGATAAACAGAGCCCGGCACAGCTGAGACTCAGTCGACCCATCATCTCAAGATGAGCTCTGGAGCTTCTGCACCACAGGGGCCTTTCCGAATCTTGGCAGCAGGCTCTAGATTGGCATCTTGGCACAAATGCCAGGGTGTGCTTGGTAGGGCCGATCCGCCCTTCAAGGCGGCTGTGGAAAGACTGAGGGGGCCGGATGCCAGGGAAGGTCCTGGGAGCCTCCCACCTGCACCCGGAGAGGGATCCCACCTCCCTCTAGGTAGCCGGGGCCTCCGGAGCCCTCACCCTCCGGGGGAGCTGCTTGACCTCTGGTCCTGGGGGGGTCTGCAGAGTCAGTCCTTGGGCTCCAGGCTCTTGAGAGCCCGGCAGGGCCAGACCCGGAGCCCTGCAGAAGAGGCCAACCCCCTTTCTGCACCCAGGGCCGCCTTGTTGGCAGCAGCCCCTCTAGGGTGTCCAGTCGTCCGAGGAGCCGGCAGAGCAGGTCTTGGGGAGAGGCAGTGGGTCAGGCAGGCGTTTCTGGCTCTCTCCCCCTGGAGAGCAGGCTGCCTTCAGCAGACACGCCACCACCTGTGGACGGGAGGCAGGTTTCCTGGCAAGGCGGCAGCGTTTCATGCCTGTCTCGGGCGCTGCTGCTGCTGTTGCTGCTGGGGTTTCGGGGGGACCAGGAGCCGTAGACGGGTGGCCTGCTGGGGTCCGGTGGGGCGGAGAGGGCCCAGGGCAGAGGTTTCTGGGCTGATGCTGTGCGCACTAATCTCGCTGCTGTCTCTCTTGTCCCCTCACTCTGCTCTCCCCTTCTGCCTCTGCTGCTGCCGCCACCGTCTGTGTCTCTCTGCTCCCGTCTCCCCCGTGTGAGTCTCTCTCCTCCTCCTCCTCTGCTTTCTGCTCCTGCCGGCCTCCAGACCACAACGAGGAGGCCCAAGGTGAGAAGGGGAGGGGGGGGCGCCCTTGGGCTCTTCTTTATTTTAATGGTAATTTTATACAAGCATAAAAGAATAAAAAGCAAAACCGAAAGAAAAGAACTATAAGAACAAATGACTTCCCCCTTCATGACAAGTGTGAAGTAACTGCTGTCTCTTAAAATGCCAGAAGGCCTCTCTTCCCATATCTCACCTGTGAACAAATCCCCCCAACCCTCTTTCAATCGTAACCAGCAAATGTCCTTCTAGGGCTACCAGTAAGATAACAATGCATCCATTTTTTTATTTATTTATATTTTATGTCGCTTAACCGCCCATGTCCCATGATTATGATTAGTTTCGCTTGTTTATTTCATCATTAACCTTGATCAAATAAGCCAACTTTATATTCCTTCTTTTTACTTCTAACAACCTGGATGTCCAGGCCCTTCAAATAATGTCTTAGAAGTTGGTTCCTTTTCATTTCTTCCTTGTCTCTTCTCACAAAGTTTTTCAAAGCTTTCACTCTTTTGTAGGTCCAATATGGGAAGATTGTCCAGGTCTCGTGATTTGTTATTCATATATCTCTTTTAATTATTCAACATCAGCCAAGGTGATTTGTATGTCCAACAAGGGATCTTTTCTCATGTCGTTCTTGTAGCCTGTGATTTTTAAATCTATTTTCAGATCCACCTTAATCTCGTCTAGTAAAACCTTTTCCTTTTCTTTTTTTTACACAATCTGTCTATAGAGGCAGACACTGTTAAAACTAACCTCTGGGTCCTTTGTTCAAATATATCCTTGAATATTTCCAGGGTTAAAATACTTTGCTCCATTCTGTATTAGTCCAATTGAGGGTTTTCCCCCCTCCTTTCATTGTAATCTTCAGCTCCTTCTGGTCTCCTCGCCTCTCCCAGGTCAAGCAGGAGACGCGGCTTGATGAACTCACTCGACTTTACTGTAGGGCTGCAGCCAGAGAACCTGTCAAGTCTGCAAGTAGCAGCCTCCCACCGCCACTCTCCCCTCCCAGGCCCCTGAGGGTGGGCCCTTCCCCAGTCTCTCTCCCCATCTGGTGCCCCCCCCCCTCCTTCCCTCGTCCGATTGCACCCCCTGGGCAGCAGCATCTGTGGGTCAGGAGGCCTCTTCTCTGCAGCGGAGATGAGGCAGACTTCCAGAAGGAAATTGGAGACGGTTTGGAGGAAAAGGAGGGGAATAAACCGCCTCCCAATCGGAGAATTGGCCAGTGGCTGCAGGGATCGGCTCTCTCTGCTGCTGCGCCCCATCCTCCTCGGGAACAGGAGCCCAGCTCCTCCCCAGGAACTGCAGTTCAGGTTGCTCCTGACACCCCCCCCCCGGGCCTGTGAGGGAAGACCCCCCTCTTCCTTTGGGACCCCCCCCCTCTCAGTCCGCCGTCTTTTCTCAGGGCTAAAGATGTCCAGAACCTCTTTCTAGGATCTGCTTCCTGCCTTCCTGGCCCTCTTCTCCCTCTCCCTCTGAACTGCAGGGTCAGGCCCTGATCTGGAGGGGGCACTTGGGGGGGGGGGGGGGGCAAAGGAAATAAAGTTGGAACCATTTAACTCCCCCAGTTTGGAAAAGGCAGCCTAACATTTTGTTTGCCTCCCCCCACCCTTTTTTTTTAACCTGTCTCCTATGATGACCTCATCATCCAACTGGCCTTTTCCCCCAGGACTGTTTTGGGCCCAGCTGCTCCCCTCCACCTTCCTCCTGGGCTTTGGATTCTTTTTCTCCCTCTGCGAAGTGATTCTACTCCCAGTCTCTGGTTCTTTCCATTGTATTCAGTCTGTTTTTATAACCCCGAAGACCAATTGTAAATGTTATTCTTTTTTTGGTGTTAACTGTCCCACCCAGTTTGTCACCTGCAGATTTGATCAGTATTCCTTCCATCTTTTCCTCCAAGGCAAAGACACAGAAGGGAAGAGGGACTTTTGATTTAGCCTTCATGCTCTTCTGCGATACAGCTGATTTCATTGCTATCCCTATACTTTATAATTTTCTCCTGCTGTACTCAATTTTTGGGAGGGGGAGGGGGAACGGACGCGGGGTCTTAGGAGACGAGAGCCCTGAGCCGCTTCGGCAGAAGGACCAACCTGCAGGCTCAGTTTAAGTCCATCGAGGTGGATTTCGCCCCACCAAAAACTATGGAAGAGGGAGAAGCCCCAGAGCACGAAGCAGGACCCTCCGGCCCCCCAGAGCATCCCTGCCGGTCTGGGCAAGGTGGTGTTTCAGAGCAGGGGAGAGGAGCCGTCTTTGGAAATCATAGGCGTTTTGCCAATGCTGCCCCCCCACCCCCACACAGCAAAACGTGAAGGTTTTGGCTTCTGCAGAGAGCTGGACTCCTCCGTTCCTTGGCATTTCTTCCAGAAGCGCTGAGTGGTTCTGCATCTCCATGGTGCCACTTACAAAGGCCGAGGCAGATGCCCAGCCTGGCAGATCTCCTCTGGTGGAAATGCTCCTCTCACCCTTCCTCTTCCTTGCAGCCCACCCGAACCGGCAGTTCGGCCACATCCAGCAGCACCGCGGGCCTCTCTGGCTCGGCCTCGGCCTCGGCCGGGGAAATGAGCAGCAGTGAACCAAGCACTCCTGCACAGACCCCCTTGGCTGCCCCCATGGTGCCCGTCCCGGCTCTGGCATCCCCAGTGGCTCCTCCAGCAATCCTCTCTCCAACGAAGGTGAGGCGGTGGGAGGGGTGTCTGTGTGGCACGTTTGCAACAGGCATCTTGGGAACCCGGGACAGGCGGCAACCTCCGGGCGTCCTGGGTGCAGGTTTGGGGTATTGCTGGTGAGGGTGGCCGGACCCTGGATGTGGAGGGTCTGCTTCCTGCCCCCCTCCCTCTGGAGTCGGGCACTTGCAAGGGGGCAGGCAAGGCCAAGGGCCTGAACTGGGGCTCAGCGTTACAGAAAGCAGCCCTCTTTCTTAAGGCCAAGCCAGGCCCCCGTGAGAGCCTCAAGAGAGCCACGTCTTGTGTCTGGCCAAGAGGGGCGGGAGGGGGGGGAGAAAGAGGGTCTGTCCCCATGGAGTGGCGGCCTCTGTGGCCTTTCCTTGCAGGCTCTCTTGGTGTGAAATTCACCAGCCAGGATGGGACCTTCCCACAGAATCCCTAAATCCCAGCCTTGGCACCTCTTTTTTATTTTATTTCAGGTTTTTTTTAATTGAAAATTTTGAAAAGCTTTTACAAATATTTACCTCCCTCCCCCACCCTCCCCACCATATTTGGTAATATGTAGCATCAACACAATCACATCTCCAGCATTTAGGTTGCTGAGATGAAAGTATTTTGATTACACGCACGTGACGTTGGTTCCATTTGAGAGAAGAGCCCACTCCTCACTGGAAGCAGGAATTGGAGGGGGGGCTGGCGCTGTGGTGGGGAGCCGGGTGACTGCGGAGGAGGGGGGAGCCCTTCCTCCCAAGGGGCCCAGAGGGCCTGAGAGGGTCCTTCTCTGCCCGGCAGGAGGAGGAGTCCCTGCGAGGGCAGGTGCGAGACCTGGAGGAGAAGCTGGAGACCCTCAAGATGAAGCGGAACGAAGACAAGGCCAAGCTGAAGGAGCTGGAGAAGTACAAGATCCAGCTGGAGCAGGTCCAGGAGTGGAAGACCAAGATGCAGGAGCAGCAGGCGGAGCTCCAGAAGCGCCTCAAGGAGGCCAAGAAGGTGGGAGGGGGGGGGGAGGCCGGACGTTCCCGTTGATGGGGCTGCCTCGGGGGGTCTGCTAGGCGGCCCTCGAGAGCCACCCCTCTTCCCCCCTCAGAAAGGCATTGGCCTGACTGACAGCTGCCAATCAGGGGGCGGGGGGCCCCGGGGCCTCCACCTGATGGCCAGCCCCGGCTGCTTCCTCCCCGGCCCTTGCAGGAAGCCAAAGAGGCCCTGGAGGCCAAAGAGCGCTACATGGAGGAGATGGCGGACACGGCCGATGCCATCGAGATGGCCACCCTGGACAAGGAGATGGCCGAGGAGCGGGCGGAGTCCCTGCAGCAGGAGGTGGATTCCTTGAAGGAGAAGGCGGAGGACCTCACCATGGACCTGGAGATCCTGAAGCACGAGATCGAAGAGAAGGGTGAGTCCCCGGGAGGGGGCGTGGGAGGGGGCCTCGAGGGAAGAGCCCCTGCCCCACCCTTGGGGGCTCCTCCCATCTGCAGCCTCCAGGAGCTCCTTTCCCCCTCCTGCCCCTCGTGGACCACCTGGAAGCACGTGGAGTAGCCCTGGCAATGGAGGCCGTGGCCTGGGGCTCTGGATCTCCTGGCCAGGCCCAGCTAGGGAGGGGTTGGGGGCTCAGGGGAGGGGAGGGCTTGACCAAAGGATGGAAAAGGAAAGTCCAGACAAGGAGTCTGCCTGAGCCGGAGACACCAAAACCAGTGCCAGGCTCTGACAGTTCAATAGGCAGGCAGGCAGTTCAACAACACGTTTTTCTTCGATGGGCCCGTCTGAGCTGCCCTGGGAACCCCGTGTTTCTGTCTGTAGGTTCCGACGGAGCCGCCTCCAGTTACCACGTCAAGCAGCTGGAGGAGCAGAACGGCCGCCTGAAGGAGGCCCTTGTGAGGTAGGCCCACCGGCTGTTGGTGAGGACAGAGAAGTTGGGGGAGGATTGGGGGGGGGGGGAAGCAGCTCCCCCCTCCTTCGGCTTCGGGGGAGGCAGGGCCTGCTTCCCTCTCTGGCCTGCGGTGGCTCCAGCCCCTCCCTGCCCCCAAAGGATGCGGGACCTGTCTGCCTCGGAGAAGCAGGAGCACGTGAAGCTCCAGAAGCACATGGAGAAGAAGAATGCGGAGCTGGAGGCCCTGCGGCAGCAGAAGGACAAGCTGCAGGAGGAGCTGAAGCAGGCCGAGGGCACCATCGATGAGCTGAAGGAGCAGGCAAGTCGGCCCCCAGGCCACCTCCGCTCCCCCCCCTTGTGCTCTGTTCTCCTGCGCCCACTAACCCCCCCCCCCTCCCGTCCCAGGTGGATGCTGCTCTGGGGGCCGAGGAGATGGTGGAGACGCTGACCGAGAGGAACCTCGATCTGGAGGAGAAGGTCCGCGAGCTCCGCGAGACGGTGGGCGACCTGGTGAGAGCAAGCAGGATGGAGCCCGGCCTGAGGGAGGGGCTCCCCCGTCCCAGTCACAAAGGGCCACGTTGGCTCTCCCTGGGCAGAGGGGCAGAGGGGGGGGGCTTGCTTGGGATGCCCTTGCCACCCGCCCTTTCGTGGCCCTCCCTCCCGTAGGAAGCCATCAACGAGATGAATGACGAGCTGCAGGAGAACGCCCGGGAGACGGAGCTGGAGCTGCGGGAGCAGCTGGACATGGCCACGGCTCGAGTCCGGGAGTCTGAGAAGCGGGTGGAGGCGGCGCAGGAGACGGTGGCCGACTACCAGCAGACCATCAAGAAATACCGAGAGCTGACGGCCCACCTGCAGGTGCCAGGGGCTGCAGAGGCGGGCAGAGGGCCCGGAACCCCTCTTTCCCTCGCTTTCTACCTGCCCGGATTCTCCCAGGCCCCCGTTTGAAAAGGCTCCCCCAACAGGGCAGCCCTAGAGGGACAGGCCTTTCTCTCCTTGGAAGGCCAGCCTAAAGCCCAGCCGCTCGGGGATCTTCTAGCCAAGGGGGAGCCCCTCCTCCAGGGGGGCCTGAGGGCCTCTGCCCCAGGGGGGGGAGCAGGGACCCCCCTTGGCTGATGCTGCCTTTCCGCCTGGCAGGACGTTAACCGGGACCTGATGAGCCAGCAAGAGGCCTCTGTGGAGAGGCAGCAGCAGCCGCCGCCCGAAATGTTTGATTTCAAGATTAAATTTGCAGAGACAAAAGCTCACGCCAAGGTAGGAGGTCCTCGGCCTCAGCGGCTGCCCTCCTGTCCCTGGCAGCCCCCACGGGAGTAGGTTTCTTTGGCTCTGGTCCAAGCAGCTTCTCCCTCTCCCGTTGTCCGGTTGGGGCCGGGGTCTCCCTGCTGCCCCCTGAGCAGCTGGCGTTTCACTGCCCACCTGGGCCAGACCTCCAGTGCCAGCAGCTGCCCTGCAACCCTCCCCCTTCCCTGCCCTGAAGTGGGGAGGCAGCTGGGCCACGAAGCGCCTGCAAGCAGAGCCCACAGTTGAGGGGGCCCCTCTGCCCTTACCCCCAGCGTGCCTTAAAGCAGGCCGTGAGCCTCCCCGATCCTTCCGACCCCCCCCCTTTCCTCCGGCCTCCTTTCCTGCCAAGGCCTCCGTCGCTCCCTCCCCCTCCTTTTCCCTTTCTGCCCGGATGAAAGAAGTCTGGGCCAAGGCGCCCCCCCCTTCTGCTCCTGGCCTTGAGCTTTGGTG